TGGTAGAAAATTATTAATAAAATAAGTTCAGGGGGCAATAGGACCTTTGTATAATATAAGTGTGTCTTTAAGATTTCGGGTATATATTGAGGGATACTTGTGCATTATCCCTAAATATATTCTGATAACGTCGAGAACACTCTGTTTGTAACAAATTTTAAACATATGGAAAATAAATAAACCATACAAATAAAATATGAAGAAACATGATTTTATTAATCAAGATAGCGGGTACGTCTGTTCATGATCCCTTGATTCTACTCTCCTAGGACTTATCCATGATTCGAGGGCTCTTAGTGGCGTATTTCTCAAACTAGGATGATTTTGATTTGACCTCTTTATATGAGTAATTCATCAATTTGTGAAGTATTCGAGATCTTGATCTCTTTATGGAATTTCTGAGATGTCCTTTAAGGAAAATTAGTACCCTTTATATTGACATAAACTAGGATTTAGAATTGAATAACCTCCAAGAATATTAATATAAATTGAACACAATTTGTAGAGTCCCAACTCGAATTGAATGTATATTCTGAATTGAGCAAATCTTACAGGTATTGCTGAGAGTGACAATCCAAATTCTTCCCTAGAAGATGCTCTCAATGACACTCAAAGAGTGGAGTACATGCATAACTACTTGAATTCCTTGGCAAATGCAATGAGGTACTTCTCTCTCAACTCTTCAACACACATATTTGTTATAGATTTTTTGAAGTGACCAAAACTAGTATTTTCCTCCGTCCGCTTTTAATTGTCATGGAATCTATTTATAAAGTCAATTTTAAAAAAAAAATTAATTATCATTTTGAGATGTATTTTTTCATCATATTGATGTACAAAAAAGTTGCAACTTGTAGTACTTTTCATATAATTTTTTGTTTAAAATATCGAATTCATGTAATCTAATTTAACTTTGAAAATTGATCAAATTGACTTTCGAAAAGCGTAACATGACAAATAAAAATGAACACACAGAGTAGATTATAGAATACAATTTGCACCTTTCGAAGAATTAATTCTAACATACAACGAATGATACATTAAACAAAACAAATAACCTATTTATATCGTGAAGTTTTCTGACATAAGAGTATCAATTAATTCCCTTTGTACAAAGATAGTTTCTACCAGATTCATAAATGTCTGTTTACATTATATATTAATTAATATTTAGATTAACATATATGTTTGTTTAATTTTATTTTATAAATAGGGAAGGTGCAAATGTGAGAGGGTATTTTGCTTGGTCATTACTGGACAACTTTGAATGGTTAGAAGGATATACAAAAAGATTTGGATTGCATTATGTCAATTTTACAAATCTACAAAGAACTCCAAAATTATCAGCCACTAGGTATAAGGAGCTCATATACAACTTTCAAAGCCAACTAACAAGATATACATCATGAATTAGAGTTCGACGTAATAGTTACAAATTCGATAAAATTTAATAGTTTTAACAGTTATGATCTAAGTAAAAAATTTGATTCAGTACTTTGTCAGAGTGATATAAGTATAAGCACTATGCCTTGTCAATATTTCCTTATTGTTTTGTAAACTAAAGCAAGTGAGTTTAGTGTGCAATGAGCATATAATTATCCAAGCTAATAATAATATTTTATTTTCTTTTGCAATTTAGAGCTTAATTATGTTCCATATAATTATTCAAGCTAATCTCTTTCTTTATGTTACATAGTTCATTCAAATACTAATATAATTATATGAAACAAATTATCCTTTTAACACATTTTCTCTCTCTATGTTGTATATCTACAATAAGATTTTGTGGATCAGAATATGTATTGAAAAAATTAATACAAAATCAGTATATGAGATTGGTGATAGAATATCGATAAAAATACAAAAACTTTATCTTCCTAAAAAGATCATACATATGATGAGATTAGTGATAGAATATCGACTAAAATACGATAACTTTGTCTTTCTAAGAAGATTATACATTTCATATGACTGGTGAGAAATAATAACATCTCTTTCATTTGTGAAAACAAGCCTTTATTATATTCTAGTATTCTTATCGATTGAATAGCACAAGCTCCTTAAAGTGTATTATCCCCTCTCCTATAAAAGAAAAAAGTTGATGCACCCAACTATCTCAATATTGATGATCAACAAAATCTACTTCAAGTCTCACCATAAAACTATGGGTTATCGAATAATTAAGTAGTACAATTTACAAAAGATATAAAATATACAGAAATAGAAGTGAAAATATACTATTTATTTCTTGTCAAACTTATCCAATAAGACGACATAGAGTTTCATCTTCTACGACTATTATCGAAAATTACATATAACCATTGAGAACATTAATCCCAAAAAGAGGAATATTGTGATGTTCACAACGACATTATCCCTTCTATCCTATTTGAATTATGCAACAAGAAAAGTAAGTACAAAACATTGTAGCTTTTTAAATCTCTTTTTGAAAAAGTTCGTAGTCCTCTGCTTTAGTTCTCTTTTGGGGGCTTACAAGGGTGTTTCGAAATGTGATCTGAGACACGATAGAAGTTTGTGTGTCCCGACAAGAAAAATATCACCGGATTATAGCACAAGATCACTTTTTCTTGCTGCCATGTGGTCGACCTGTGAACAAGGTAAACCCAAAAGGAACCGACAAATGAAGGATACCTCATTGGGCAAAAGATGATCCAAAAAGCGAACCTATTAAAATCGACAAAAAAAATATTGTCCACGTCAAAAGAAAAGTGAGTATGTGCATTATATAGCAAATGATGATCACAAACATGAAAAAGATCTACTTCTCCCAAAAAAATACAAAATTTTATTATTACCTTTTATAATTTTCCTACTTGTACCGAAAAAAGTAAAATTGAAAAAAAATATAATAATAATATAAAGAATTGAAATCGTATACTGTATGGTTTGAGCTTTTGTTTGCGAAAAAAGCCACGAGGGCACAAATCGTACTATCCTTTTTTTGTGGCATCGCACTACATAATAAATATAATACGAAATAATTCTATATCCCTTCTCTCTCACCAAATCCTTTAGGGTTTTCGCCGCCACCGCCGTTGCCGTCGCCGTCGTCAACCTTCTTCTCTACTCTGCTCACCGAAACCCTAAGAATGCAACCAGCGAATTCCATGGTTCCACAACCAATGGCGGCTCCATCGCAACAACAGTATCAACAGCAGCCGCAGCAACATTGGATGGCTCAGCAGCAGCCGGCAGCGTATCAGGTTCCGCAGCAGCAATCGGCGTATTATTACCAGCAACAGCAACAACCTCAGTACAACGCCGCGGCAGCTGCTGCTCAACCGACCAGTTCCGATGAGATCCGGAGCTTGTGGATCGGAGATCTACAGTTTTGGATGGATGAACAGTATATCCAGAACTGCTTCGCTCACACTGGAGAGGTACGCTTCGAGTTTCGGATATGAATAATCGATATCTGTTTTGTATTCTTCAAGTTCTCCAGTTTATGTATCCTGAAACTAGTCGGCAGGAAATCACATTGATGCTGATATCTAGATATGCTTGTATGTGGCTTTTGAGAATTTGCGTTTAGAACTACTAATTGTTGTGTTATGCTTCAAGTTTTTCGCGTTCTATAACAGTTACTAGGCCTCTATCCTAACCATGCTATATGAATAATCTGTATCCGTTCTACTTCCTTCATGTTTTTGGAATACTTGAAAATAATAGGGCAGGAAATCACATTGATGCTGATATCTAGATATGTTTGTATGTGGCTGTTGTACTTTTGCTTTTTGAACTATGAGGCGTCAACTGAAAAGATTGGTTATTTTTAATTTTCAGAATTTGTTTTTTTCCTTTCATGTGCTATGGATGTATTTTGTCCTAGTGTTCTAAATGTAATTCGAGGAACATGTTACGCTGAGGTTTAGTTTGAATTCATTGAGTTGTATTACATTTATGGATTGGTCCCCATATATGATATGTTTGTGTGATAAACATATTAGTTAATTTCTCTGCGTAGTCAGGGGCGGACCCAGGTTGTCTCCAGGGGTTCATCCAAACCCCTCGGTAAAAAATTACACCGTATATAAAGTAAGTTTTCTGTATTTCAGTAGATATATATATATATATATACATATATATATATATATATATTTTTGAACCATCTCAATAACAAAGAGAAGCTGGTGGCTCAGTGGCAGTCCCCTTGAAATTGAATTGTGCGTCACTGGTTTGAATCCCAGGGAAAGTGATTTATTTTTTTCAGTCTTTTTTTAAAGAAAAAATTCCGTTCTGTTTTTCTTTTTTTAGTGTTTTTTTACTTTAAAAAATCTGCGTAAAGTGTGGTTTTAAACCCCCAAAAAATCAAGGTTCCCATTTCTAAAGACTTTTTTACATGTTTATATTTTTATTTTCCGAACCTCTCTGAATGAAAATCCTGGTCCGCCACGCTGCGACTGATGCTCTGATGATAAAATCAGCACAAGGTTTAGTTTGAATTCATTGAGTTGAATTGCATTTATGGGTAGGTCTCCATACATGATATACGTGTGTCGGAAACAGATTAGTTAATTTCTCTGGGTAGTGACGCTCTGATGATTAAATTAGCACCGAGGTTTAGTTTGAATTCATTGAGTTGCAATACATTTATGGATAGGTCTCCATATATGATTTATGTGTGCGGGAAACATATCAGTTAATTCTCTGGGTAGTGATGCTCTGATGATAAAATTAGCACCGAGGTACAGATTAGTTAATATCTCTGGGTAGTGATGCTCTGATGATAAAATTAGCACCGAGGATTAGTTTGAATTCATTGAGTTGCAATACATTAATGGATAGGTCTCCATATGCGACTTATGTGTGTGGGAAACATATCAATTAAATCTCTGGGTAGTGCTGCTATGATGATAAAATTAGCTTGTAGAAAGGGATTGCTAGGGTTAGATGGCATTAGTTTGAACTGTTTTACATGTGTTCTTGCCTCGAGTTCATATTATGTGGGGTTTGTAGACGTCGGGACTTTGGTCTCAACCAATATGATGTTTTAATAAGATTCTCAATCTACTTAGAGTGCTGCAGCTCATGGCTCAAACATAGTTCTTGCTTGAGCCCATATACTTAGAGGTCATAGGTTATGATCTCAACTTTGTGAGAAGGCCAGTCCATAGGTTTTAGGTAGCTGGGGAGATGTTAAGCAGATATTTTTTCTTGAAAATGTTTTAGTTGAGATGTTAGGCACATATAGTTTCTTGGTCACATACAGGAACTGAATGGTGTATTTAACCAAAAACCATTTTGGTGAATACAAGCAATTTGTTTGAACGACTGTGCGAGGAGCCAGCACTTCCATAAACTATTCTATTGTTTTCTTTTTTAAAACTATTACAGTCTGACTATCATTCATCTTGTTTTGTAACGGAATGTCATTCTTAGTAGACCATGTCAGGATAATTGTTGAAGCTTTTGAAGTCCTATAATTGCTAGTTGTAAATTTTTCTTGGCTTTTGCTTCATCAGCCTCTCCTGCTATGGAGAAGTGCAAATTTGTGCTTGCTTTATAATTGTGTAAATGTTTCCTTCATTGACATGATTTGTAGACGTATGGAAAAATATTCTTGCATTTTCCAGTGCATGACGTATGAGTGTTGTGTTTCTGCTATTTTAATTTCCTTTCCTTTCTCCCCCTTCAAATTTATGGTAGTTTTGTGAGTCTTCTAACTATTGTTTATGCAGGTGGCCTCTGTTAAAGTTATCCGCAACAAGCAATCTGGACAATCTGAGGGTTATGGATTTGTTGAGTTTATTAGTCATGCGGCTGCTGAAAGAAACCTACAAACATATAATGGCTCCATGATGCCTAATAGTGAGCAACCCTTTAGACTCAACTGGGCATCACTCGGTTCGGGTGAAAAACGTTCAGATAATGGTCCTGAATACACAATTTTTGTTGGAGACTTGGCAGCTGATGTCACTGACTATATGCTTCAGGAGACATTCAGGGCCAACTACCCCTCAGTCAAGGGTGCAAAGGTTGTGACTGATAGGGTCACTGGGCGCACAAAGGGCTATGGGTTTGTTAAATTTGCAGATGAAAGTGAGCAATTGCATGCTATGACTGAGATGAATGGCAAGTTCTGCTCCACTAGGCCAATGCGGATAGGCCCTGCAGCTAACAAGAAGAGTGTACCTGGTCAGGTGCAAGGTATGTTCAAACCTCGTAGTTTCTTGTACTGGTCTACATAGGTATCCTCTAGAGCTGTTAAGGAATGCATCTAGCTTGCAGTTAAGTACATATGCATTCCTAGGTTTTGAACCTGTTCTCTTGTAAATTTGCGATTTTGTGCTTTTGACAATTTGAGTTATGTTGGCTTGATGATGATATCAGTTTGTTTTGGGGGCAATTGCTGGTTTTGTTCTCACCTCACTGGGTTAAACAGTGCTGTTATGCTTGCTCTCGTTCCTTGAAGATTAGCAACAGCTTTCAACATCTTTTCCTTCCATTCATTAAAGACATCCTTGAAATATTAAATCTCATAAAACTCCGATTGTCTCGAAGCAGGGTGAATGGTCGGAGGCTCTATCATTTTGGGGCCTGGAGCTTGTTACAGCTGAAATGAGTAACTTTTAGGACGTGATGTTCTGTAGGTCAGTTCATTTAAATGTGGCAAAATTTCCATTATGGCAGATCCACGTGGCATTAATTTTTTTTTCCAGTTTCTTCCTTTTCCCACTACGCTTTCTATCAGTTTATTTATCTTTACTTATCAGCTGTTTTATTCTTTATATCTAGTTAGCCTGCCACGAGTGTCACTTTGATCTTCAGTTTCCTTAAGCTTTTCGCAGTTCCAATTCCTAAATAAATATACTTGGGTCCTGTATCCATTCCTTTACTTTTCAGCCATTTTATTTTTTACTTGTACAAAAATTCCGGGAGGAGGTTGTTTCCCCTCACCTTCATATGCTAATGCAGCCATAACATGTCCCTTTTTTATGGCAAGGGAAACTCGCAGAGGTTATCCTTTGGGTGCTTATAGGGTAAAAAACCCGCACCTATGCAATAGCTTGCAAACCACAAATGAGAGGTAACCCGCACTAGACAAGCTTGGTGCGACGAGCTCGACCTAGAAGGCTAACCCCTTGCTTTCACTGGCATTGGGTATTAAACTTGAGACCTCCAACATGGAAGTCCCAAGCCCAAACCACTAGGACACCTTGATTCCACGTCAATGTTCGCTTTGCTTATTGTTGCTATTTTTAGATTTTTCAGATTCTTGTCAACTATTTTTTGTTTCATTTTTTCTTGAAGTTTCAATAGTTAGATTTCTGTAACAAGTTATTAAGGGATGTTGAGGCTGGTTTAGAGGAGTCTCTCCAACACGATCTCGCAATTGGCCAATTTATATGATGGTGTTGGGACGGGGTTCGGATTTGTTAGTATGATTTTCATATTTATATTTATTTTAGTGATACTGAGATCATTTAAGGCAACAGTTATAAGCTCAAAGGGATTTGGTTCAGTGTCAGGGGTAGTACATCACAGGATGTGGTTGGTCATGTCACTATATTGAACCCTGTTGACAAGTATTTTTATTGTTGATCAACTGCTCCTTCACTCTTTATATTGGCATTTTTGCGTCCCTCTGTTTGTAAGTTTGAACCTAAAAAGTAATCTGGAGTATGAACTTTTCTTGTGTGCTTGTGGTTGGGGGGTCCAATTAAAACTAGTTAATATGGATCTTGAACATTCATATCTGATGATTTTCTTTTGGGTCGTTGTAACCCATATAATTTATGAAGTAACAACAGCTCACTGTGTCTTTTTGTCTCTTGAACCAAATACCTTAGTGTTCTTTTCAGATGCCAGGTGTAACCAATGCTCAAACTTGTTTGTATTAGAAGTTTATATAACACAGCACAAAAATTATGTTTATGCTTTTAGCTGCACTAATCTATCTGATTTTTTACCTGCTCTTGTTAGTGTTTGAAGATTTATTATACAGGTGCTTGTAATTTCGTTTGCACCTCTTTTCATTTTCTTGATAAATACTTGTGGAGTATTTCTTTTAAATGGATAAGAAAATTTGTCTGCATCTACCCTCATCTATGCTTTTTTTCATTGCAGCTTCATATCAAAGTACCAATGGAACTCAAAATGAGGACGATCCTTCTAATACAACTGTCAGTACATTTACTTATGGAAGTACTATAATTTTCTGTTGATTTCTACTCATGTGAAATTGACATTGATTGCAGATATTCGTTGGGAATTTGGATGCTAATGTAACAGATGACCATCTAAGGCAGGTTTTTGGAAATTATGGACAGTTGCTTCATGTGAAAATACCAGTAGGCAAACGTTGTGGCTTTGTTCAATTTGCTGACAGGTACCCTTCTGAAGTTCATATGTTAATTCAACAAAAAATAATAGATGTAAATTTGACTTCAATGATAACTAACATGGTTGGTTTTGTAATTGCAGAAGTTGTGCTGAGGAAGCTCTACGAGCATTAAGTGGAACTCAGCTGGGTGGACAAACTATCCGCCTTTCATGGGGTCGTAGCCCTTCCAACAAGCAGCAGGTTAATAGTTAATGCATAAATCATTTTTTTGGTTTCTGACGCTAATCTTAGTGCATGACATACACAATGTTTCATCTTCTGGTTGTCCAGCCTCAGGCTGACCCAAACCAATACGGTGGTTATTATGGGTATTCAGCTGGATATGATGCTGCCGCTGCTGCTGCCTATGGTTATGCTCAACCTGCTCAGGATCCAAATCTATATTATGGGGGTTACGCTGGGTATGGAAATTACCCTCCACAGCAGCAACAACCACAGGTTTTGCCTTACCCTTTCAACAACTTAAAGAATGAATTTTACTACTGACGGATGATATTGCATGATAAATTTGTTACATATTGTTAATACTTGTTGCTGTTCTAATGTGGCTGTGCAGTGATCTCTGCTGGTTAAAGGAGTCGACGAAAGCTTCCTAGCACAGTAATGCAACGATGTAGAAAGGGAGGGGCATGGATTCGAAGTTTGCATCAGATTTAGTATAAGATAAACTACTGTAGGCTGGTTCTTGAAGATCAGTATTTATGGTTGTGTTCAACCATCGCTTACTTTTTCATTAGTTACCTTCTGTTATTTTTCATTGGTTTTTTTGTTGATCTTTTTGTTTTTTGCGCTTTTATGTTTACTTTTCATGAGTCCAACTTGGTACTTGGATTTTTGTTCTAGTTGGTTTTTACAAGGCACAAAGAGGTTATACATAACGAGTAAACGTATATTGTAATCTGCTATAATTTATGTATGGACAAACAATGGTATGGTATTTTATTTAAAAATAGTTTTTCGCTTGGAAGAAAAAATTTACTCATTGTTGGAATTTATTTTGTATTGTGGGATAATCTTTCTTTTGAAGCATTAATCATGTACTCTTTATTGTGTTTTGGTATCCCCTTTTTATATTCTTTCCAGTCTGATTATTGCAATGTTCTTTTTTATTGGTATCTTCTTCATTGTACATGGATTTGTTACTCTATCGAGGGTCTTTCGGGAGCACCTATACCTCTCTGAGGTAGTAATTAAGTCTATATATATATATATGCATTCTATTGTCGTGGGATTTTATTGGGGGTATGTAACTGTCGTGGATTGGATTTCACTTGTGGGATTTTGTTGGGGGTATATAACTGCTTTAACCAAAATACTTTTGTTTTTAATTTGTTAGTCTTTATTTTTGATCTATTTATTTCAAAAAATGTCTCGATAGTTTTTTTAATTCCTGATCTGTTTAAGATTATAGAGTATTTACGTTTGACATTTGTCAATTTTAGACCGAATAAAGAATCTGCTATAATAAGCATGTATATTAGGTCAAAATAAGATAAAATATTATAGGGTTGGAATTTTTGAAAGTAAAGATGGATTGTGTTTGTTATACTTTTGTAAAGAATACTTCATTTAATGTCCATGCTTTAATCTATTCTAATATAACTTCAAATGTGAAAAATGAGTTCGAAAATAAGTTTTGAGTTTCAAGATATGTTCAATTGAGGACGAAGAAAGAGAATTCACGGTTCAATTCTCCATTTTAACACAAAAAGTAGGATAAATCAAATTCTGTTGAGTCTAACTTGTATATTCACTTATCAAAGAATGATTCTTGTAATTAAATGATTGAACAATATGGAGAAAGAATGATTCTTGTAATTAAATGATTGAACAATACGAGCAACACTTAGTTGACATACATCTAATAATTTCTGATTCCAATCCATCATGTTTAGCAGAAATACATAAAACTCTTGTTTATTATTCACTTAGCTAGAGGTATTTTAGTGATAAGTTCACGATCCTTCTAGCTGTGCTACTCAATGTGAACCTAATACAAAACATATCATAAACTAAGATCACTTGCTTATTCCCCCTTTCATTTTAAGTTTCTTCCTTTCCTGCAACCTCAACTTCTGTTCCAACATCAGTACTTTGCTTTTCCTTTGGAGAATTTCGCGTTTCCATCGAAAAGTCTACTAATTCACTGATTGATTCTTGAGTGTCATTATGTTGAGGCATGTCGAAAAAAGGTACTTCATTTTGAATTGAATCACTTGGCTTTACTTCACTTTCTGCTGCTACTGATTCTTGAGCTAGAAAGTTAAGTTCAACGAATGACGGAGTTTGGTGAGGTTGAAAATCTTGATTCCCTTGTCCACTTTGTGTCAATTCTTTTGGTTGAAGCTCTGGATTGATTGTTGGAATGAGTTGAGTTTGAGCATCTATAGGAGGAGCTCGATGGATCTCGAGTTTCTTTAGTTCATAATGAACCAACTCTGTTGGCTGAACTAAAGTTTCAAGATTAGACTTGTTGTTCTCCACTTCAGCTTCAATCTGTTTTTGATTCGATCCCATTTCTAGTGATCCATCGACAACATTATTATGATGGATCTCGTCGTTTAAGCTGTTGAGATCAGAACAAACAAGAGTACCTGTCTGAATTATTGAGTTTGAGTCTATAAGTTGGCTCTGAGTACTCTTCTGTCCATTGGTACATTTACCTTGTTCTGCATTTAACTCGAGACCTGATTGGTTCGCGACTTCAAACACCTCCATCACCTCGTCTTGTTCAACCATTCTAAGGTTTTCCAATAAAGGGGTAAACTGTGTTTGATGTTTGATCATTTCATCTGGATTACCACGTTGATCGTTACGTACTGATGGATGATCAGAAGGCAACAGAACTTGTTCTGGAGACACATTCAGCTGCTCATTAGTACTACCAGTTTCTTGATCTTGTAGAGTTATAACTTGTCTTCTATGATGCATTTTAACTTGTGGGGCAATGTCATTTGCTGCTGTTATGGGAGAAAATCGCCCCGGCTCAAAGATTAATCCGCGGAGCGTGGTGGCGTTGTTCCCAAGCTTGACAGAAAGGAAGTACCCTGCATCAAAAGTACCATCAATGACACCAGAAACTATCTGTCCTAACATGTTTTCATCTGTAGTGATATCTTTTTGCCTCATGATTTCTGGTGCTGGAGTTGTTGGAGTCTGCAAGATCATTCTTTTAGCTGGACCATCATCTTTCCGAGGGCGGCCGCGCCTTCGTTTTGCTGGAAGGATTGTTGGAGGAGAGGGATTTTCTTGATTAGTTTGATCATTCATTATGTGTAAACCTTCACACTACATGTAATTGAAGACATTAGTTTTCTATCATGGATTAGTATCACAAGCACATGCACTAGGATTAAAAAATCTCAAACAATAACTACGTCTCGATTCTAAACAAGTTGAAGTTAGCTATCTAAATCCTTACCTCATCATTTTAGCACAGTGATCATGATCCAAAGGATTCAAATAAAGTTGTAAGACAAATGAGATGATAAATCCTTTGTTTATTGTTTCCTTCGTATGATTTCTAAGTGGTGGATTCAAGATTTGAACTTTATGGAGTTTGAGTTTGGGATTTCTCCTGTGGACTATATATAGATATGATGGATCCAGGATTTGAACTTAAAGAGCTATACATTCTACGATAACGACATCAAGAGTTACTAATTTGATCCCGAATTATATTTTTGTATATATTTCTTGATACAAATACTGATTTAAACTAAAGCTATTGAGTTTGATCAAATTTTTATTTAGTAGCCTTTTAGCTCCGCCCTGAAATTCTTGATGTCTCCACTCTCCTCTATTTGGGTTGAAGAATTTCTTCTTCAATTTCATGATCATCATCAATATATAAATTTCACTTCAAATTATTTAATTGACAATTTTTAGATAATAATTTCTTAGCTCTTGAAATAGAAGATATAAAAAATGAATAATCATGTCATAAGATTTCCATGAAGTGAAAAAAAAAAACTCAAAAATATCCATCTATACAACAAAAAAAAAACATATACAGTCTAATCTTATAAGTTAGAGTAAAAAAAAGAGAAGTGTACATAAAATTTTATCACAATCTGATTTCATGAGTGGAGTCGAGAAAAAGTAAAATATATGTAAAATCATACCACAATCTGATCTCATAAGTAGAGTAAAAAAAAAATAGAGTGTACGTAATCTTACCACAATTCGATCTCATAAGTGAAATCAACGAATAATGAAGTGTACATAAATCTTACCTTCTCACAAAGAGATCATTTTTTATAGATCCTTGACTCAAGAAAAACATATACGAGGCTAGAAATTCACATGCACGTAAACAATCGCAATGGATATGATATATGTTAATTTCAAGTATACATATTTGAATGTTAATTCTTGAAATTGATGAATATATAATATATATGAATGAGAAACTAGAAATTACCTTTTTCTTTGTTCTATAAAGAATTGAGATTTTTCTAAAACCAATTGCTCATACAAAAATAAATAAAGATCTTGCTTTTATTTTCCTAATGAAGTTTTCTTCTCACCTATTTTTGGGGGTTGATTTTTTCATGATCTCAATTTTCATTTTACTGTAATAAAGTCACAAAAATAGTTGTTATAATGAAAAATTTACTCAATTTATTTATTTAGGGATTAAAGATAAGAATCTCTCTAAATTATGATAAAATTATAAATACACATTTAACCTATGCGAATTGCAAAGGTTTTATTATTTTTTCAAATAAATAAAGAGAAAATAATTTAAAATATTTTTTCATTTTCTATGTTTGAAAACAGATATTTAGATAGTATTATCTCTACGAAAATAAATTCCTTGAAATTGAGAAAAATGATTTTCCTAATAAAAGTAAGGAAACCATGTTTCATATTCTAAATTCATTATCTCCTCTCTACTCACTCAATCCCCTAACCTCCACTTCTCATCTCGTCCCGTCGATATAATGTTTTACGAGATAATATTTTTATATTCACTTTCATCAAATACTATAAAACAAGTAAGGAACTCACTTATTTTTCGAACTAAACATTATATTTTCAATGAAAAATATTTCCTTCTTATCAAACCCTACCTCTAATAATTACAGTAACATATTTTTTTAAAAAGGCTTGTAAAAGACTCAACACTCGAAAATAACTTTTTTATTTATTTACGAGATAAAAATAATGTATACATACACTCTATCCTTTTCATATCTAAGTTATGAGATCATATTGAGAATGTTATTATTATTAGCGAGTATAAATAATTTTAGACAAAGAATATAATTATAACCATATCCAAAATATTTATGGCTGAAAAAGAAGGTATGTGGCCAGCACAAGTCCCTACTAAAATTCAAACACCACAAAAATAAAAATAAAAAACACTAATCTATAAAATCCACCCCAAAAAGAACAAATAAAGCTCCAATTTTTCTATCACCAAGACCTCAAAATTCAATCATGGCTTCTCTTGTTACCAATGGAATCTCATGTTTTTCTCCTCAACCCATCACTGAGCAACCTAAACTATCAAAAGGGTCTCAATTTCTGCTAAAATTAGCTAACCCCAGAAACCCTAATTCAAGAATTTTGAAGGTCAAAGCTGCAGAATTGAGCTATGAGGCAACTATTGACAGCCCAGGTAAAGAATCTTCTGTTTCAACCTCAAATGAAAATGACCCACTTCAGAAATTCTTGAAAAGAGACTATAAATGGGGTTTTAATCAAGAAATTGATTCCTTTTCATTACCAAAAGGGCTTTCAGCCGAAACTGTTAAGCTTATTTCTGGTAGAAAAAATGAGCCTAATTGGATGCTTGAGTTTAGATTGAAATCATATGAGAAGTTTCTTAAAATGAAAGAGCCTAAATGGTCTGATAATAGATACCCGGAAATTAGTTTTCAAGATATTTGTTATTATTCTGAACCTAAAAAGAAACCAACTTTGAATAGTCTTGATGAGGCTGATCCTGAGCTTATTAAGTATTTTGA